TTTTCCTCAGTCCCTCCAGGCAACTACTGGGATAATTCCTTCCATGTTTCACAATTCATCATCACTATAAAACATATGCAGTTCAGAGAACATGACCCCTCCCCCACCAGAAGTAACATTACCTGAGATTTTCCTGATAAGAGATTAAATCCTGCTTGTCCAAACAACTGCAGAAGGGTGTTACTTGTTACCTCCATCTGTGTCTGACTCATATTCAGCCACACTGGTGTACTTGTGGCTTCTGGCTTTCCAGCATTCAGAGGAGTTTTGTTGATGTTTGATGGCGTTCTGTTCACAGCAGACGGTGGAGTCTTCATGACACTGCTTGAGTTCAAAATTCCTGATATGGACCCATTGCTAGTGTTTGACACAGTTGCTTGCTGGTCCTTATGAATGGGATGGTTTGGATCCGCCAGATCAAATAGTGGCTGAATTACTTCAGACTGAAAAACTGAATTTTTCTGCCAGAGATTCAATACTCGAATAACCTTACTCTGAAAAATGAGTGAGAAGAACGAATTATGCCCACTTTCTTTCAAATGTTTCAGTCTATAAGACAAAGCTAGGAACAATTATAAATTGATTCTTGACATGACATTCAAATAGTTCTGAACCTATGTTATGTCCATCAAAATTAACTCTCATTTTAACCATGTCTTAAATTATTTACATGTAAAAAAATTTTCAAAAGAGATTATAAATTATGTTTAATATCTATCTCCACACTTCAACAAATCATTAGTTCCTATCATCAAATCAAAAGGTAATATAGGTATCTTGGAGGTATCCAACCGTCTTCCACATATTACAGAGAAGCTATCTTAACCTACATTGCACATTTTTTTAGAGATCTATTACCACACAGAATTTCAAAATATTGCATTAAGTAAGGCTGATGTTTCTCTACCTTAACAATTCTCATGGCTGTCATATTCATACTATCAACTGATGGACATTAAAAAATACAGACTGGTATGGTATGTGTGGCCTCTAGTTGCAGGATGATTACATAAATATTTTGTAAAAATTTGTCAGCTGGTTTAAAAGTTAATACACAGCTGAGATGACATCGAAGAATGAGTCATTTCATAACAAACAAGCATGAATTTAGATGATCTGCAAGTTACACTACATGTGCAGCAACCTTTGTCAAAGATCAACTACTGTTTGATCTTTGTAGTTAGTCTTACCTTATCTTCTGGAGGGCATCTGAAGAGATTTATGAAGGTGGTTTGCATGTTCTTTGCAAATCGAGGTGCAAAAACATCTTTTTCTGCACCAAATTGGTGCCTAGACTGCCGAACTATTGAATCAATCACGTACAGGCCTGGTACTTTATACTCAGGTTTGCACTGAAATCATAATAATACAAACATTAGAAAATTGGTACAAATAATTAAGGATTAGGCATTTAAAACTTATAAAAGCACCAGTTACATACATAATTAAAAATGCATTTATGATAAAGGGTAAGAAAATGACAAAACAAAACCCAACAGTACTGTGAGAAAGATAAGTTTGGGAAACCAGAATCTTTTTAGTCTTATTGATATCCATTTTACTTTGCTTTCCTTCTTCTCATCACTGGTCCCTCAAACATACAAACTCAAGACTGACACTAAAATATTGGCCCATATTTGTGGGAGGGGGCAGAAATAAGGCCTGAGGCAACTTAGAAGACCAATGTAAATGTGGGAGGATTCGTGTAGCTGAAAATGGATACAATAACAGGTAATTTCCAAACAGTGTTGGCATCCATGCAAAGGATGAGTGACGATGAGTCATAAGCCGTGGTGTGATCAGACAGGAGTAAGAAAAGTCATAAATGTAGAAATCAGAATTCAAATAATTTAAGTGTAACCATACCTTCTGAATAAATTTCTCTACACTCTGTACAACATGTTTGTAGAATTTAATAGCTTTAATGGCACCTCTTGTGATTGATGTCATCTTTGCTTTGGAAATTGGAGGTTTGACTTCATACAATGCGGAAAGCTGCAAAATAAATTCAGCATTCTTAAATACTATGGTCACATAATGAAGAAACTAAAATTTATAATGCAGTGAAAATACGCTGTACCCTCTTTAGAATATACTATCCAAGTACATGAAAAAGTTTTATACTATTTATGCTTAATGCACCAAACAGATATATATACTGAGAATTAAATTAAACAAACCTAATTTGTACTACATATGAATGTTAAAGAAATACACAATTAATACAGGGGGGAAAATACATTTAACTGAGCCAGTACAACTACAGACAGCCCAATAAACCCTACAATTATAACAAAGATGTACACACTTCTAAAACATCAATGACCAAAAACGATTAATAATCTAACATTTTATCCTAGATAACACTTCTTCCGCGTATTTTTCCATAGATGAAAATAATTATATGGGTATAAATTATATGATTCTCTAAAGTTGTTACTATTAGTTAAAAACACTGTTTTCTGAAGTCCACGTATGATACAGACTATATCAATGTCTAGCTTTATTTCATATGTGAAAGTCTGTAAATAATATAATTTTAAATACCCATAAAAACGTTTTAAATAATCATTTACAATCCGACATGAAGTGGATATTAAGGACAATTAATGAGAAAGAGTAAGTTACTTGCAATTTGCTAAAAGCACAACACCGAGTATTATCAGTAATTAAATATTATTATAACCGAATTACATCGTCCGTAACAAACGTAATGATACTAAAGGGGTACAAGATGCAACTTAGGTTTCTGATGGAAGTTTATTTATATTGGGACTCATTTAACATTTCTCGGTAGCTTCTATCTGTATCAACGCCTTCCAAACTGCGTCAGTTCCAGGCATTAAACGATAAACCTTTCATCACTAACCTCCGCATTGAACGCTTTTACCGCATCCATAATTTCCACTTATATTTGTTTCTTAATTTGCCTCTAAAAAGTCCACAACGGCCTACATGATCAAGTAAATATTAACAAATGCACCCTTTTCCACTATCTCTTACTGTCCACCATGCTCCAAAATGGCTCCCTTCCCATGATGCTACCGCTAATAATCAAATACATACATTGGTCAATTTTGGTTCAATTTCACCGTTCCTGTGATTTAGCCATTTTCCTCGGCACAGTGTTGTAACATTGGCAATACCGGCTTATTGACAGCAAGCTGTTTGTAAAAGTGACCCATCTTCTGCTCCCTTAGACTCAAAAAAATGTAATTAAAATTTCTGGACACGAATGTAATAATTTTCTTAGTCACAGTTGTTTTATCTGAGGAAATTGTTGCATGTGGTGATTTAATTGTCAGATGCACAATCATCCTGCTTCACACCATACAATTCTGTGGAGACTGTTATTGCTTTATATTGCTTCGTTTGCATGAATATGTAATGTATTATGAATGTATAAACTCCGCATGCTACATCTTATCACGAAGTTATAAGTAGAAATTATAACGGTCTCTTACTGTAAAATAGGTGCTTCCTATGTTCGTACATTTGTGGATCAGAGTCTCTAACTGTCTGGGCCCATTCTTGTATTTCACCTACATCTCTCTTAAGAGATTATTAACTTATTTGAATTACTGTGTCAGTGTCCTAAGAATGATGAACATGGTGGGTATTAGGACCTACAGATTTATGTGGACTCCATACCAATTATTCCATATCCTATTTGGGAACTATGGAAAGCCCAATCTATCTATCTATGAAGTCTTGGCATTTCCCATATTCATGACTTTATCAGAGATGAGGAATGGGGAGGCATCTGGAAGACTTCGCACTGGGCATTATTAAACACAAAATTTTTAGCATTTGAGTAGATGGTATTATTTATTGATTTATAAGAAATTCAGGTGCTTCTCTTAGCCATGCATTTATTTTATGTAGAATGAATTTCGTATATGTTTTTTTAATGAGTTTGCCAGAGGAGAATTTGGAATTTCATTACAAAGGAGGAAGAGGGGTTGAAAACCTGTCTGTCTAAATTTTGAGGGTTATGAACAAACATTGTTCTTAGTGCTTTGAGATGAATCTTCTCTGATAGATTCTGCTATATGTTGGGATCTTGATGCCCTGTCTTGAGCCTGTATACTCCAGATCACAACTGTACAGCATTTTGCTATGATCAGTTTTAATATCCTCCTATTTGTCCCATGCCTCCCACATGGTCTTTTTCCTTGAAGGTTTAAAAAAAAATTTCATGCCATTTATTGCTTCTCCCCCTCTCACTACATGTTACATCAATCTCATTCTTCTTCAGGTGAAGTTAATTATTTCCTTATTTAAATCATGATACACTGATCTCATTCCAGATGTCTAAAAATGGCTATAGGTATTATAGACCTATCTGCCAACTGCCAACATTGGAGCACTGATAATACTCAAATGTGGCACACATCACATTAAACCCAACAACATGGTAATGTCAACACGATGGTTCATGATTTGTATCAAGCGCTACTTTTCAGTTTCCATCATCCTGATCATCTGTTTCACATCAGCTTTGAGCATCATACTATATAAATGGGCAGAAATGGATACCAAACCAGACTGCTTGAAGCAGAACATGGAATCAGTGACTACAACCCATGGCAATGTTGCCTTGTCCAAAACATTGGACATTAAAATGCAACTGTACACAGACAGGGGGATCCTATCACAGAAATCTGCAAACAAATCTGAGCTCAGACTAAAATGGTTACATCAGAAAGTTGAGAAAATTTCACAGAAAGTAAGACGATCTCAAACTGTGAAGCAGATAGAGCAGGAGGAAGTTTCCACTACACATCCCAATTACAATGTCCACATCTTTTATTATGCCTGGTATGGGAATGTTGCTGTGGATGGACACTGGCGACACTGGAATCACAAATATCTTCCTAACTGGAAGAAAGAAGATAAGATCTATCCCACAGGAACTCATGAACCTCCTGGAGATGTCAGCTCAAATTTCTACCCTATGCTAGGTTGCTACAGTTCCAAAGATCCTGTTGTTATTGATACTCACATGAAACAACTGAGTGATGCTAAAGTAGGTATGTACTAGGAAAGCTTTGTAGAACCGGTCATAATAAATTAAAAGGGCAAGCATAAATAACCTCTGCATCATACTTAGTTATGATTATGCTGCATGCTGAATAGTGTGCAATGGTCAGATTTTTGGGGTCTTGTCGTTATCATTTAGGCCCACAAAATGTTCTTATATGTGATGGATATGTCTGTTTTAAATAGGCCAAATGGCCAAAAGAGTAAATTTCTTTAGAAATAGCACTGCTTAAAATCCATACTTAAAGTAAAGTTCAAGTGTGTTTTCTCACCCCTACTCGTACTTTTTATTACTGTTGTGCAGGAGTTGTGGTAGTGTCCTGGTACCCACCGGGTACATCTGATCCTCAAGGTGACTCTCCTGACTTGATCTTGCCATTGCTGCTGGATTCTGCACAACGCCATGACATCCGAGTGGCACTACATATTGAACCTTACAGGGACCGCAATCCCATTAACCTCTCCCAATATATCCGCTACATTATCGGTCATTATGGAGGACACCCAGCATTCTATCGGATGCAGCGCAGGGGTCGGAGTCTCCCTGTGTTTTATGTGTATGACTCATACCTAACTCCTGCAGGGGCTTGGAAAGAACTTTTGAGTGCCAAAGGGAATCTAAGTGTGAGAGGAACTCAGCTGGATGGAATTTTTCTGGGACTTCTTGTAGACATGCAACATAGATATGATATAAAGAAGTCACACTTTGATGGTGAGTGTTTGGTTCTCTGTAGACTATGTGAGATATGACAGTGACTAATGTTTAATACTGAGGTGTCAGTATCAAATAAATAATTACAACCATGAAATGCAGCTGTGTAATTAACATTACAGTAATTACAATCATAGTTTTTGCTGATTGTTGTATATTCTTGAGTGCCGATGTACAGGAAATTGGCAGTATACTTGTATACTGCAATCACTATTATTGTGATATATAGTGGTAATTAGTGATTAATATAACTTATATCTGACACTCCATATTTTATTTCAACAAAATAAAACCATTTCAACTTATTTTACATGACAAAGTATAGGTTGGAATTTTAATAATATGATTTTTATAATCTACCTGTTAGTGGACATGTGCCTAAATTGTAATCAGTAATTTTGTGTGGAAAAAGTATATACCCCTAAAGATGGGTTGGTTGAGCCAAGACATGTAAGATGATGGATGGATAGGTATGTGATTGTAATTACTGTGATATTTATTATATAGTTGCATATGAGAGTTGTAACTATTTGATTATGGCTGTTGTCTGGGTTGTCGTGCCGTGTAGTCTGGTAGAAGTTTACCGATGTTTCAGAGGTCCTTGCTGCCTCCATCATCAGGGCGATGAAACATCGGTAAACTTCTGCCAAACTACATGGCACAACCACCCAGAATACAGCCATCTTCAGACTCACCACCGTGATAACCGCAAATCCTACATTGTAACTGTTTGTTCTACAGTATGGAATGCAACAATAAAAGACTACATTTTGAGACTGAGGTGTTGGGTTTACTTTATCCTAAAAAAGTTACTGCAGAAGCTGTGAACTATGTCAAAATAGACAAACTCTTTATAGTCTTTTGGAATCTACTGGATTGACGATCTTTAGTAAATGTATAATAAGAATTACAGTATTCGCTTATTTCAGGGTTCTACACATATTTTGCAACTAATGGTTTCACATATGGATCATCATGGAAGAACTGGCGAAGTCTCAGTAAGTTTGCAAGACAAAATTATCTCCTTTTTGTACCGTCCGTGGGTCCTGGATACATTGACACGCAGATCCGTCCCTGGAACATGGTCAACACTCGACACCGACGCCATGGCAAGTATTATGAGGTTGGGTGGCGCAGTGCTCTGTCAGCACAGGCTAAACTCATCTCCATCACTTCATTTAATGAATGGCATGAAGGAACACAGATTGAGCCAGCTGTCCAAAAAGCTACTGCATCATTTACATATTTTGACTATGAACCTGAAGGCCCTAATTTTTATCTTAACCTCACCAAGTGGTGGGTCAAGGAGTTCAGCAAGAAACAGGAGGGAGAATAGACTTATGTTGTAAAACAGTAATTAATGCCACTTTCTTATGATCCTAATTTCATTCCGTAAAACAATAAAAATATTTATTATACATTTTTAAATATCAGCCTGTTGGTTTACTATGTAAACAAAGCTTAGCATTTATATAAATGATGGCAACCTAATGATATATGTTAAAAGATTTAAAACAGTCTAATTTTTGTGCTCTCGAGTACCAAGGCGTGGAATGGCAATTTGCATAGAATTTTCAATAAAATAGGCCAGGAGTGGTTAAAGGTTAAGTGTTTTCTTTCGCTAGCTGTTCCAAGAATGGCTGTAATATTCATTTAGAACTCTTGTTACTGTGAGAAACTTGTACATGATCGTATGCACATACATTATAAAGTTAACCAAGATGTGTGATTGATGTTCAAGTCCATTTCATATACAGACGCATATGATCATATATTTGATCATTGATGAGTTTCACATATATGTCAACACATTTGCATGGTTGTTTAATGCTGAACTGATGTACATTTGTTGTTTACAATTTTGTAATACTCTTTTTTACAGTCATTATATAAACATATTATATGTTGATATTTATTAATGTAATTCCCTTGTTACATGAATTTACTAGAAGTTTAATTTGAGCCTATTGTCTTCTGCACCTGTTATATGAATCTTGTGCATTTTTGGGAAAAATGATCATTAAAGATTTCTGAATGGACTTGTTTCTTTGGTCCAGACACTGATCACTTTTGATGCAAAAAGAAATACAAATTATGAGCAAATGTTGGTGAAAATATACCTGTCATGCCTTTTTCTTGAGAATTTAAATTATTCACTTATGTTATATTAATTCATATTTTCTAAGCTACTATGGGTATGGATGAACTAAGGAAGGTATTTTTTGATAAATAAATTTTAACATGCGAAGGGTAAGGAGAACGACAATGTTATTCCTTACGAGATATATTTTCTGGCATATACAAATACATTATGTCTGGGCAGTTTTTCCAAAATGTATGAATATGTTGTATTATCTTCAACACAAGTGTTTGGCATAATCTATACTGGATTGAAGACCGTCATTTTTGACAATAAACACTGGTTCCAATTAAACGTGTGCTTCCATTTTTTTTATTTTTAAAGATGCATTTTTGAAAACTATGGCATTGTGCATGTGCTGTGTGCAGCAGTAATTTAGTATTGCGTGTTTCAACTTTGGGTAACTGTTCTGAAGCGGTAAATTTACATTTTACCACACACATCAAATGTAGCGAAACTAGTCTGAGACAGCATGCATCATTATCCTAATATGAGTAATATTTTAAAATGTAGCTTTTTGTTGTTGATAGTTTGGAATTAGTTGTCATTGTAATGCCCCATTAGATTTTCCAATACTAAGACTTAATTATGGTTATGTGACATGATGTGAAATTTACGTTAATATTCCCACATACATGGCAGAGAATCCTTTGTAGGATTTGAGAGAATTCTTTGATAATTTTCTAACAGTACCTTAAAAGAAAATTGCAAATGTTAGCTGTAAAACAGACCATTTCAGTGTTTTGGAAATTAAGGCATATAATAGTTGTGTTTGTGTATTTGCAATTTCATGTTTGATGTGCTGAATTTACTTTATTGATGTGTTTAATTTATATGAAACTCAAGACAAATGTGTGTACAGTCATAAGACTTATCAGTGTATGAACATGTTTCTTCATTAATATAAAATCTAGAATCTCAGTACCTTATAAAACTTAACTGACATTCCTCAGTTTTATCTTTACCACAATACAATATGAGAGTTTAGATGCAAAATGAATTAGAGAAAGGAAGAATATAAGAAAGAGGTTCTGCAATGCTAGATTTGATCAGCTTCACCATGAATAGAATTTATTTACATTCCATACACCCTTCATAGGCCTAAGCCAAGGATGTAGAACATGTCATTGCACAAATACAATACTTGTTTTAAAAATATAAATTACACAGTTATGACAGTAATTTACAGTCAACTACACTGTGTTGGTCCCCCCATTTTAATTAAAATTCTTTATATCATAACCACATGTAACAACTTGAGAACCACCAGACTTTCATGAAAATTGACATTATATTAAAATCAGTGAACACATTTGAATTTTGGATAAAATCAGGCAACAATAAGGTGAACTTTACATGAAGACCTACAATGTGTTCCTGTGTGAAGATGTAACCCAGAAGCCAGGTTATTCACTGCATTCATTCTGACATCATTGGTGCCATTCAGAGAGATCAAAGATCATATTTTTGCAGAACAAGCAAACCTCCCGTAACCACACACGCTATTTTTGACAGCAGCTGCGAATACAAAGTAGCAGCAGTACCAGATTGGGCACTATGGGTTTGTTACACCATTGTACATTTCCAGAAAAATCTCAAATCTTCCATACCATGTAATTGTTTTTGTACTGCAGTTGTGTTAATGTTTTGCAAGAGTCAATGTAGCCAATAGAAATATTCTCTACAAACCTGTCAATTCCTTTTTTATGTTCTCAAGTTCAAGTGTGTGTGTGTGTGTGTGTGTGTGTGGGGGGGGGGGGGGGGGGGGGGGGGGGTATAAATACCAACTATTGGCAACTCTTGACTACTGCTATAAATATTGAATAACTGTTGCACTTACCCTTAAGGACCACAACACAGAACTGCAACAGACAGGAAATATTTGTGAAGGGTTCAGAAAAGATAAACAACAGTCTTTTAATTTAAATTATAATATAATTTCACAGAACTGGCAAATATCTGCAATGGTTAGACCACTGAAAACAGTTCATACCCATAAATTATTCTGTTTTATACAAAGGCTTGTCAGACCACATAGAAACTGATATTGCACTCCAAGTGTCTTGTAGAAAAGTTTCACCTGAGTTGTGTTTCTACTTTGCCTTGTGTTCTGATCACTTCACGGCACCACACTTCGACTAGAGACATCAGTTGTTCGATTTGTACATCCCCCTCAATTGGTTTGAGTCACTTCCAGTCCAATGAATCCTATCTTTTTATACAGTAACATTACTCTCTAAAATAATCTTATTTTATGGACAGGGGTGTTTTGATCAAATAATAACCTACCAGATTTATTAACTCTTTCTCCATCACAAAACCAAACTGACAAGACAGGTTCTGGTAGACCTGTTACAAGTCCATTCAGGCTTATACTTAGAGGCTTGTTTTATATTGCATATAAGTCATGCACATATGTAAATAATGACATTATAATGCAATTCTTTTTCAACATTTTCTGCTTCTCATCTGTCACAGAAGTACTACTTGTGTTAGTCAAATTTTCTGAAACAGCCTGTAGCACTAAGTGTGGCAATAAGAAGATTAAAATTTCATTGCACTGCAGAAGGAAAATTGAGGAAGGGCTACCAGTGAGACTTGAGGATAGGCAACAAAAACCTGTTCAACAGACTAGGTAACTTCCAACACTGCATTTTAGACGAACAATGTGCGTGATATTTGCGGATGAGTCCATTAGTGTTTAATTTTTGTTAATGGCATTCATATCCTGGTTACAATACGGTGAGACGAAGTTAACAAAGATGATTCCTACACCCATAGAAAAGTGCAAAATGGTTTCTTTTTACCAACAAAAGTAGGAAAACTGCAAACAGATAATTTTCAACACCATAAATCAAACACTGTACTGTTTTATTCTTATGGAAATATGTGGAAACTCTGCTCACCTGATATTATTCAAACTGTTATTATTCCAATGTAGAACTATAATTTTAATGGAATTGGGTTGTGAAGAAATATAGTTTGGGAACCAACGCTGTAAATATTTTATCATCCCACTGTAATCTTTTCAATTGCATGGCTAAAACAATTTTCCCCCATGAGAAAGTCTGCTGAATTCTGTCAGATGTAAGAGGGGATAAAAAAAGAGGACGTCACAGAGTGGGAGATCTTAGGTTCTCACAGAACTGAGTATGAGGGTGACTGGATTCTGGGGTTTTGCAACATCCCAGAAGACAGCAATCTTCATGTTGGAGAATCTAAAGAAGTGAGAATGGAGGAGACTGAAGAAATCAAAGTGTGAAGTGAGGGTACAGAGAAATAAGGAGGTAACAGACTGAAAAGGAAGGATGGTGGAAATGAGTTTTGGACTTTAATAGAATATTCAAAGCTAGGTCAAAATGTTTATGAAGTATGTCTGAAGGAAAACTAAGAGTTAAAGAATTAAAATAACACATGGTGATGATTCAAGTAGGTCAGGTCAATACTGCCAAAGCTGAAAGATCTCCTAGCAAGAAACTAATTTTTGAGCGGCCACATATGAAAATTAAAAATTATACCATGGATATTTTTCAAGCACCTCTTGTTTCCTTGCTCAGAATGGTATCAAAAACACCCCTGATTTGACCTGCCACTTTTGCAAATTACCATCCATAGTTAAGCTATAAAAGCCTGGCGAGACTCTAGTCATAACCATAGCAACACATTTACAGATGTGTATCACAATCAAGTAACTAAGAATGACAAAGTCTGAACAACATTAAAGCACAATTAATTGTGAAACTTGTAAATCTGTTACTTTCTCATGGAAACAAACAATGACTGCCTTCTATAACACCCCACATGTTTCAGGATATTTCTACTTAAAATTTCAGCTGTTCTTTTTTTCAACAATTTGATCAATGTTTGAAAGAGTTCCCAACATTGGAAACAAACAAATGGGATAGGAGATTTACTGTTACTCAGTTTCATTTGTTACCACCTACAACACAAACTGAGAAATTGCATCTTTTTTCCTCAACACAGATGACAGAATTAAACTACCTTTACTCTGATACCAGCCAAGTGCCAGGTCACAGGACAGGTATCAACCAAATATTTTTGTACCAGGTCACATCAGCTCTATGCAAAGTCTGTTCCTATTTATTGCACTGAATGGTCCCAGAAAATAAGAGCAACATGCAAAATGCATCAGGCAAAATACAGAATGGACCAAAAGTCTGGTTCACCCCTGATTTTAGTCTTATGTTCTTTGCTCATATGTGTACATTATTTATTTATTAACATCGAAGATGGTGGATTTAAGGACTTAATTATATTTGTAATAAAACTTACAATGCACTACACTGTAGCATATTCTGTACCAAACACTGTGGCTTACATAAAGTAACTGCTACCATGTTAAAATAATATATATCATATGCTCTTGTGTATGCAATGAACAATAAAAAATGCAGCCAAATCCAAAGATCCACCTGTAAGATTTCTAAGAGATTAATAATGGAACGTAATTTTTTAAGTGCACTGTACATTAAAATGTTCTACCAATAAAACATATGCCAAGAGATACACAAAGGATACACTGATTGATGCCAATGTCTGTCAAAAGGAATGCACTTTGAAAAGGAACCAATGCCACAGAATCACAGGTATCACATCTGTATTAAGAAGCTGACAGATACACTTTGTGAATATACCCACAGGACTATTCTACGGCCACTCAAAATAATGCTCTTAAAAAATCATAAACTCCCCTATTTTCAATTCTAGAATGTAATTCTGACATAATGACATGGCACCACACCCCAAAAAGGTCTCCAAGTCATCATTTTCTAGTGTTCAGTAGACAGACATGAAATGTGGGACATACCAGAGCAATGAGAAGGAACAAACTTGAACATAACCACTATTTTACATATACTGGAATAACATGCACAACTTTACATATTTTGAATTTTTAATACATCAGATCTGTAATATGACAAGATGCTGCTTACATTACATATCTTACAGACCCTAGTTCTTGTTCTTTATAACATTCCCATGAATAAATTACAGCTGTTACTTAAAGGAAATAAAAGTAAAATAAATAGTCAACTATTTACATTGATTCATCAAGAAAGTATTATATGGCACATTTTATCATCCATCTATAAATTGTTATTTATACATAACTGATGTTATAAATATGCCATGCACATTCTTTTATTAGTACATAAATATTTAATTCAAAGTGGTTATTTATTTTATATAGAGATGTACTTTATTTGTATTTTCAAGAAGTTTGTACATCATATATAATAAATGTCTTGTATTCAATGGTGCAGTTCAGGTAATAAAACATATAAATGGCAATTGACTGATGCAGCTAAGTAACTGACATTGTCCAATGCATTCACCAGACTGCCAGTTTATCTCGGATTGCTTTAGTTCTACTCTGTTGGCAACAACTACAAGACCACTGGTTTAAGTTAGGATAGTACCTGCTTGTAATATGTTAAGCACATTCAATCCTTTACATTATTTGTAACTGCAAAATTCCTTTGTGGGTTTTGTTTGGCATATACTGGCCAGAATGGTCAGCACCCATTCTCTGTGCTCTGCAGCATTATGCTTTCAAATTTCTGTTCCTGTGGTAAACTGGCAGAACAAGTTTGGCACGTACAAACAAATGTGTAAAACTATACTTGGAAACTAAGACCAGAGTTGTAAATAAGTCATCACATTCAAAATTCTGGAGTTTTGTTTAAAATATTCAAATACTTGTCATTCTGTCTGGGTGGACAGTGAGGCAAACTTCTTAACAACTTTATTAATCTATGAGTGTAATTTATCTAAGTTCAGATATACACTGTAAACAGAGATAAGGTTAACTCTTCGTGGATGTGATGACAATGAATGACTTCTCTGAACATTACAACCCCTGAGAGTCATTTATTCCTTCCCTTAAACTGTATATAAACAATGCATTAAGATGAAAACTAGTGCTTCCTTTCCAGAAAGAAAGGTAGAAATACATTTGATTTCAGAGGGGTGGAGGTGATACTTATAAGTTCTTTTATAAAAATTAAAGGGAAACATGGGAATTAATTTAAAAACACTTAAAAACTGCAGAAATATTGTAAGTGCTTTCACCTGGTGTATGTGTGGATTGAAAATTGTAGAACCGGGAATTATGTATTGACACACATCAGTAAGATGCGAACTAAGGTTAATGACCCTGTACTTCTGGTGTTTGTGTAGTTTCTCTGCAACTCCTTGGACTTGTGCGCACCATTACATATAATAAACATTACAAACAAAATGACTATCCCCACACACAAGTTCAATGTTTCTGTGTGACATGCCACATTAAGTGCATTTGTATTAACATGCTTTGTACTGAAGGTACTTTATTTAATTCATGTTAATAACTTTTGTATATTCTGATATTCTTACTGAAAGTAAAATGTTCCTGATGCAAACCATTGCATTTTTAATCTTTATCGATATTACTTATAACTCTGTTTCAAAGAATTTGGTGCACTATTTTCCATCTCCATTAGTTCCAGTTATTGCTTTCATAAAAACGGTGGTTAACAATTCTAATTTGGGGAAGATTCTGGCCCATACACATGACAGCCTCTCCAATAGCACAGCCAGGTTCTAAAGCCAGATGTGCCATGTCTCTACTAAAACTAAAGCTGTCCCACTATACGTCATGTAGGTGCTTGGGAGGAGAGGAGGTATAGCTCTACTCATTCTTAACCTCGGCACTAGATTTGGGTGAGTGGTCAGCATCGTGCCCCGGCTGCGCTTTACCCCCGAGAAAGGACCCTGGTACCCATTGGATAGGACGTCAAACCTTAATGTTGACAACATATATGATTTATATATTTTTCTGTCATACCTAAATGTTTTGAAAATGCAAAGGATAATCTTAAGATGGAACCTGAATTAACTGTGAACCTGAGTATATTTTTTCTGGTTCCAGAAATGCAGCGTGAAAACTACTATACAGTTACCTAAAATAAAGTGTTCAACAAAGATAATGAAAAGAAAAGTTACAATTTAACAAAAAGTAGTCTCCCTGACAATTTACTTCTTTCTGTTCACATACTTCTGTTTTCTGTTTTGATCTCAGTTTTCAAAACCGTGCTAAAGAAGAAATTAATTATTGTATTTTGTGGAAGATGATTTGCACAATAGCCAACTACTTTTTTCAGAAGTATGAATTATTTTACGTATTAGCTACTTTCACAGAACTTATATTGTTGAGAAAATTTTGTGACCTACATTTGTGGAAGTGTGCAACTGGACAGTGTGAAGGAGTTTATGTGATAACTGTTCTTAAAAGCATGTTTTCATGTAAATAAATTAGTAATTATAAATAGTGCAGTATCTTAGCATTCTATCACATTCCCGTCCTGGCTATGCTACAGGATCACAGATAACCTGAATTTTATTCATGCAATATGTTAAGAAGCTGTAGTACTTCCTTCTCTTCTCTCTGCAGTATGCTGTCTCTTTGTTGTGCATCACTGATCTTCATGACTGTTGCTGAAGTTCCTCTTCAGGCTGAAATTTGGTTTGATATTCCTGTGATTCACAGTAACACTGTGATTTGAGCAGTGACAGTAACAATGACAGGCCAGTAGATCCAGACACATCTTTATAATCCTGTTTATCTTGAGGGAGGCTCTGGTGACAGACCTTCAGAGAAAAATTCTATTAAAATGTACATGTGATACACTTCTCTGAATGTGATGAACTAATTATAGACTCACAGAGCAATCCAACTGTGTCATAATACCAAGCCTGATTCATAGCGTGATAACTGGTAGAACAGGGCAGTTTGAAGGGAAACACAAATTATGCTTCACACAGGAGTAAAGTCATGGTGTAATATGTGAAATTGTTCTTTTGGACTTTGTACATTGTCTAAATTATAAAACTATTTCAATATTTCAGAACATTTCTGCTTCTGTCTTCAGGTAGATTAGGGGGAAGAGGCCAAAGACTATCTATTGGGCCCCTGGTTGACCTAGCCCAGGTCTGAAACAGACTGTACAGGTTATTGAACAAGTTAATTTTTTTTAAATATGTTAATTATTATATCACATGTACAAATAAAATTTAAGGAAAAATTCTGATTACAACAGGGTAATGAGAGTAATAAATCAAGTATTTGAATCCAATTTAGTTAGCAACATACAAATTTTAAGTTACTAGACGTAAGATTACTGTTGTTAACTTGCTGCAGAAAGCTTGGATTATACTACAAATGAGAAGAAATGGGCATCACAGCAGCAGAAAAGCAATTTATGAGGACAACAGAATAAAAATGTTTGAATCATTAAAGGAATTTAGCTACAATAATGGGATTAAATACACAAGTAATCATGGAGTTCATAGAAGATTTCAAATCTAACTGGTGAAACCATACCCTTTGAATGTCCTGTGAGCCTTATACTGCGGCTCAGGTTATTGATTCTCATCTGATGGTAACACTTTGGACATTCTTACCCATTTCCTCCGCCATCTTCTCCTCTGGCAGTAGTAGATTTAATGAAATAAAGTTTGGGGGAATATGGACAAAACTTTCTCTTTCCCAAAATGATAACAATTAAATAAATAAATAAATTTGGTTTGATATGGATATAATGTTTCCAACATGGAAATATATTATAAAATATTTATACTTTACAACTTTTATATTAACTGTTATTAAATATCAACACAAAAACAGTACTTTAGAACCTGAGATGACGTTAAATTCATCACTGACAGAATCTATAACTATTACAGGTTGGAAAATATTGAGATGTGAAAGGAGTACCGGCCATGGTAATGAGTTGTCTACACTCACCTTCTCAGCACATAATTGGGTCACATATATAAAAAAGTTAGTAGTGTCCGTTGATAGATGGCACTAGAAGCAATAAGTACGTGTTCCTGGGCAGATGCCAGTTGACAGGCCAGGGGTAGGTGGTGCAGGGGGTGGTGGCGGTAGCACCAGAGGACCGCCAGACAGTTCTGGTCAGCCATAATAATACTGACTATTTCCACCTCTGTTCAGACTCCGGGGGGGACCCACATCTTGGTCCAGCTGACCACGCCTCAGAGTCCCTGAGGCCCCACTGCCATACCGCACCACCTCAGCAACATTTCCAGGGGGTGAGTGTACAGCTACGACTGGTACCGGCACTGGTGTTGCGACGGTCAGGTCTATGTCAGCATCTATCTCACTGATGTCATCTGCAAAGCCATTGGGGAGTGCATGTTCAGCAGCTGCAGTCGCATGGAACTTGGCCTCGCTTCGAGCCCGATGTCGTTGCACCAGCAGCCGTCCGATCACCAAGCCCAGAAACAACAATAGCCCTGCTGTGATGCTGAGGATCAGGTACAAGTAGAACTTCTCTTGGTTCTCTGGAACACAAGCAGCTTCAAGCTACAATCATGTTGCTGCACAGTATATAAAACTACTTCATTAATAAAATTTTGTATTGCAACTCAGTAATGAAAAGCATTAGAACAATTTAGTCGCGGTCTGGATAAATCTGATGTAACTCCTGTATATACATACTAAGTTATATTATTTCATTATGTGACTTTTCTCAAAGCAGCCCCAATACAAGAAATGTGCTTACGAATGATTAAAACATAGTGATATTTAGAAAATGTTTCAATATTATTTATATTTTACAAAATACAAGAAATAACAGTCATGATTATCACACTGTAAGTTTTGTTGACTTTGTACACGTAATATCTCTAGTGTTCAATAGCTCTGTAAACATCAGATTCTTATATGCAATAAATGAATAAGATGCAAATTATGTAGAATGTATTATACTTGTATTACACCCTTTCCTTTCAATACTGATAAAACTTTGGTTCCCTGCATTTTTATGTTACAGAGCAATTTAAAACCCATGTTTACAAGTTTCAAAATACAGATAGCCTTGTACAAAAAAATAATTTTTTGCTACTGTATACTGAGAATTTGAAGCATAATTTCACCAAAAAATTATTTACAGCATATGTAATATAAGCTTACAGACAGAGACACACATCTGAAAATTAATTTATACTCATCATCTTACCAACAATTTGATAAAAATTAGTATAATATTAAGTAACTTAAGTTACTTAGTGCAAAAATATGTTAAATCTTCACTGAAACGCTGGAAACAAAGTTGGGTAAGCAAACCTTGCCATGCAAAGGTATAAGAGGGATCAGTAACAGATGATATGCTGATACAAGTAGTAACACAGAACAGTAATATTCCTCCTGACAAAACTTAGCATTCAAAAATCTGAACATACATACACAAAAAATGCATACAAATTTTACTGCACAACAATAACAAAAATAAATGTACTGATAACATACATTAATTATGTTTTATCTACTTACAAACCAGAGCAAACTACAGTAAAACAGGGATTAAGTTGAAATTAGAACTCTGATCTCATGCTATACCTTTTTTTTTCTACTTTTTATACACATTGTCCATGGCACTGAACATTTTAAAACACTAGTACAGTTCAATTTATTATATTATAGCATTAAATGTGGTGTATTACAAATCTCTTTACAAAAATATGTATGTCACTTTCAAAATAACATAACACACAAAAAAATAACAACATAAAACAAAAGTTTAAAATTATATGAGGAATTTGTCACTTTCTTTTGCTATACAATCTCCCTTTGCACTTAATTTTGTCATTTAGATAACCTAACATTGTACGAACACAAGAATCACACAACGTTTGTATAAAATTAAGCCACTTTACATTTCATCATTTTAGATTTCAACAATAACTAGTTAAAATGTCATGATGAAAACAATTTGTAATTACAGGGTATCCATCACACAGATTTCGTTCAATTTGCGACATATTTCATATTATAAAAATGCACTTTTATCTCCAGCTTACTTAAAACAATTTATATGAACAAAACACTAAATTATTAATTTTAAATAGAGCAAGTGCACCTAAACCTTACTCTCAACAACAGTCCAAGTCAAAAGAACTTATCATAATTACTAGAGAAATTCCACTGTGAAACAGTTGTGCAGGAAAGGCTCTGAGACGACACTTTTAAGTGTTCAGGTTCCCAGAGCTTTGGAGCTCCCCTAGCCTCTTATATAGTGGCCATTTCTCTATGGGTACTAGAGCATAATGCTGATCACTCTGTTGAGTGCAACTTAGGCACAGGGACAGGATTAAAATATTTCCTCCATTTTATGCATGAGAAAGTAAACATTGACAATCAGCTATATTATTATTGTTGTTGTTGATAAATGCAAACTACAATGAATTTTCTTTTATAATAATTTAGAAAATCTTAGTCTGGATCATTTGAAGGTCATTTAGACATGCTGTATCTTCCTATCAATCAATCATGTAGCACCAGAATGAGATGTCAGAAAATGAATATGAACAGTGAAATGAACAGAATTTAGCAGCAGCAGTTATGGCCTTTTTGCAGATTGTATGCTAGCAACTAAGGAAAACCGCAAGTCAAAACAAAACAGCAAGTTTTCCAACCAAGATTCAAGTAAATATCACGCAAAAAAGTATCACACATTGGCACTAAGACTTATGAAATTGTCAAACTACACAATACATTATTTCTTTTTAGAATAACTAAATACAATACCATAAAAATTATCTTTGCAAAAACCTCACTGATGTACCCTCTTAGCAATACTCATTATGCAACAATGGTAAGAAATGTTATGAAGAAACTGTGACAAAATACTGTTTTTAGGTAAAATAATCAGATAATGTTGACCAAACTGTAGTCCAGCCAAGGTTTTATGGTTCATCCAACAAAACCAGGTCAGAGGTCAGCTACAACCCAAGTATGGTAATTAATTTTTCTTTTGAATTCATGTTGCCACTGTTGCCAAACCTTTTCTGCACAACTATCAAGACAATGGGGAAGAGGACTGAGAACCTTTTTGTTACATTATTATAACTCCGGTCTACTTACGTGAAAGAAATTTGTATGCATTTAGCCATTCGGAAATGAAGCCAATCACTCGAGTTTTCTCGTTGGTATAAATGGTGATGGTACAGTTGGTATTTTCACGGAATTTCTCATCTGAGAAATCATCTCCTTGCATGTCTTTGGTTGTAGCAGGGTCAGCAGGATAGTGAGAGGGGACGAACAAATTGTTATATGGGGGTCGAGGGGTGGTATACAGGCCAGACTTCCCTATGTCTGCAATGGAAACAAAATCAAACCCTTTATAAATTAAATTCCCAAACTCAAACGTTCTCTTCCTCTCCACAAAGAGTCTAGCAGTTGAAGCTGTGATATGGCTTGACTCCTGAGTGACTTAAGTCATGCCACATCATCACTTCACCAGAAATGTCAAGGACTGTGATAACCTGCTACTGAGCGCAAGTCATCTGAACACAACAACAGAAGCCAACAACAAGAGACACAAATTAAGGACCTTATATGGGGCTTAAAACTTTAAAGGATAATGGCAAAAGTGTTTTCTTTTTTGTCCAAATATAGAAATAAAAGCTTATTTATTGTAAAGCGCAGCTGATTTGTGAATGAGGAAAACTACTCTATCTAGGATCCATGTCTCTTCCCAACCTGCCAGTCACTCAGTCTACCTCAAGAAGATGGGAAACTCAATCTAATTTTGAGTACACAAATTTTCAAAATGCTACCTTCATGATTTTGCATTCCTCTTTGGCCTTGATGTTCATTTATTATAAAAATATGATAAAAATGAGAAAAAATGTTTTTGTACATCAGTTGTACAAAATGTACTGAACAGCTTCTACATACAATTATAAACTATGGATGTATATAAAATGCATATCTAGAAATCTAACACTGTAATATTAAAAGTTTTCTTCATTTTCTTTGCACATGACAAATCTTACATTTAAAAATGTGTTTACTGTTGAGTGCATTATTCTTAAGTTAAAAGACTCATTTCATACAGACTAAATAATTGCAGTTTCATTTTTAATTGTCATAACATGTACAAAAATAAACCAATTTTAATACACAAGGATTTTTATGTGGTAATTGCAGTAAAATACTTCACAGAACTAAATGTTATAGATATAATGGCCAGTCAGTCTGTTATGGGTGTAAATGGAAGAGATAGTGCGCACATTACATTCAGGCAAATATTCTATTTTGAAACTCAAATTTAAATAATCAATTAGTTTAAAACAAACTGATCTTTCTAAAAAAAAACCTGCTTTAGCACTGCTCCAGGACAGTATCATTGTGACACATTCTGCAAAATTAAAAATTAATCACACATATTAGACAAAGCAGACTGCAGGTAACATAAGGAAAGACAAAAATATCAGAAATATAATTTTTAAATTGGAAAACTGTTTGTTATGTCTTAAACAACAAAAGAAGAGCAGAGGGTGTTACAAAATTTTATAAAATGAAACATTTCCATTAACATATCTCAGAAAAAGCAGAGATTTAAATAAATAGCACAAGGAAACTGCTAAGATAAAATCATACCTGACAAGCAAAAGGCAACACCAGATAAAAAAGCTGAATGTTTCTTACAGCTATCAGAAATGAAGCCATGAGAAGAAAGTTCACTCCTCTCTATGTAAGTTATATTTTAGAAATACTTAATTTTCAATTAGCACACCAGTTAGGAAAAAAAAAAAACTGCAACCCAAGGGACTGAACAATATGAAGGATGCCATTTTACATATGAATATGATGTTCAGAATAAAATTCTATGTTTGAACGTCTGAAATTGCCCTTGTGAATTTCTGCAAAAACACATTTTATACCAAGGCAGTATGACCCCTGAAATGTTGGTTAACATCGACCAGACTACACAGCGCAACAACCCAGAAGACAGAAATCTTCATACTCATCGCCCTTATGATGGAGGCAGTATGACCTCTGAAATGTTGGTTAACATCGACCAGACTACCCGGCGCAACAACCCAGAAGACGGAAATCTTCATACTCACAGCTGTGAAAACCTCATATCTTACACTAACAGAAATGTATCACAAATTGAGGTTTGAAAATTTAATTGCACAATCAGGATATTCAGCAAACACTGCATTTTTATCACTTATAGTTCAAACAATGGTGTTTTTAGTGTACAATCTACTAAGTATCATGTATGGAGAATCAATAATTAGTAAACACTTCTAAATGAGTATACATGCTTACTGTATTACAGACGAATGATATAGCAAACAAATAAAAATGACAGGAAAAATAAAATTTTTGAAGATCTGAGGCACAGAATGTGAAGTGAGGAATGCAAAAATATGCATATATCTATGTACAATTTATATACAAATATCACTGATATTAGCTGATTTACAAGATTCATGATCTACATAAAAGAATATCCTATGTGACTCTTTGCGTGAAGGGACTCGCACAATACTTGTACAGGGATGGAAATAGAACAAACGTCAGAGGACGTGATAGCAAGATGAGAAAATTACATTACTAGTAGTAACAAATTATCGTCAATACTCCCCTGACAGTCTTAGAGTAATTAAACTAAGGAGGAGTCATGTGGGGCATGCATACATGTATGGGAAAATGGGAACAAGCAAACCTCAGGTAAATGTATCACTTGAGTGTCCTAGGTGTACATAAAAGGATAATATTAAAAATGATGTTAGGTATGGATTAAATGATACAAGCACAGGATATGATTCAGTACTGAACTTTTATGAGTTTCGAAGTAACAGAAATAGGATGCGATGATGGGCTGCAGATGCCACTACCACAATATCAAGTTCCATGGTAGACTTTCATATTAGCGGTATGCAGTCTATAGGTTGTTCTTCCAGGGAAGCAGATAATAATTAAATGGACTGACTCCCAAGAGCTATGCTGGCGGTATCATATCTACTGGTAGAGCCTCCCTAGCCAGATTGGTCGAGGGGGAGAGGTCGTACTAAGACAGGTACCCTGGTCCTCCAGGTTGGGGGTTGGTCGCAAGGCTAACAACTTTGCACCGTAAAAAGGAAGATGTTTCGAAACCTCAATCAAAGTTAACAGAGGACCGAATGGAAGAGGAGAATTGAGGAGGCCATGGACCGAATACGGACCAGACAGCCATAGAAGAAGAAACATGAAACTCGGGTACCATGTTCCTCACAATTGAATAGTTCCTGATGATTCAGGAGTGCAATTTTGGGGGCTCAAATCAATGCCTCTGTATCCCTGTAAGACCCTGATGATATGTAAACTCTAGAGTGCAACAAAACTGCATGCCTATATGTAAATTATTAATTTAACGCTGAATGTCTGGTTAATATACATTATCTGTCATGATGTATGTAGGTAGAAGACAGGTTTATGAAGACATACAAGAAGTTGATTTGTTAATATTATGTCAGATATATGAACACTTGGACTGGATACAATAAGTCGATAAAAAAAAATACCACTCCAGCAGTTTGCACAGCTGAATTCAGCAAATTAAATTTTAAAGGCAGTATAGATACAGCTTAATGCATGACAATCAGAAGCTATATAATACAAATAAAACAAGCATTGCAGAATTTTTTACACAGCAAGTCAAAAAAAAAGACAGGCTGCAGGCTGGATGGCCTGAGTTCAATACCAGGCAGGCATGAAGATTTTTTCCATCCAGCACTACATCCAGATCAACTCTGGGGCCCACACAGCCTAACCAGTGGGTGCTGGGAGTAAATCACCCGAAGCGTGAAGTTGACCACTCACCTTCATTCGGTGTCAAGGTCTAGAATGTGCGTAGCTTGATCTCCATGCAAACAATAAAAGCCCTTACACCTTACAGAACAATACAAAGCTTTCGTCGATATTAACAAATATCACTGTAAAACCAAAGAGGTCTGCACACCAAAAAAATGAGTGACTGATTTGGATACCAATCTGGGGCAAGCTATTCTGATAGAAGTTTTTCGTACTTTCCTCAGTTCCTTCAAATAGGCCACGACTGCTTCCTCCCATATTCGTCCCAATTCATTATTCACTATCATTATACCATGTTTCATTTGATACTACATAACCTCAGCAGTACGGTATAGCACTGTGAAAGAAAGAAAGAAATAAAGAAAGAAAATAATTATATTATGCTTGTAAATATGTAACATCATACCAAAATTTCTTTTCAGGGTTTACATAAAGTACAGGATTTACTAGTGCCAAATCAATACTGCCCCAATTATAGCCTGGAGAGAAATAACGCAGGCTTGAGCAGGTCCACTGCACCAGCTTAATATTTCAGTTTAAAGTGCACATAACATAAATATGTTTTCCCCCCCAAAAAATACGTTTTATTTTCATGTAATTGAGTCGAAAATGTTCAAAAGAATTTCTAAGATCATTCTTCCACATTCCCCAATCGCAAACAGTGGCATGCATGCAAAAAGGGTGGCTTACGAGTTGTTGCCAAAATATTTCTCGGAAATATATTGAGCATGAGTGAGCCGGGATAGCTCAGTCAGTATAGTGACTAGCTACGGGCTGGACGACCGGGGTTCGATCCCCGACGGGGGCAGAGGATTTTTTTTTTTTTCCTCTAGCCTCTGCGTCCAGACCGGCTCTGGGGCCCACTCAGCCTCCTCTACAATGGGTACCGGGGTCCTTTCCCGGGGGTAAAGCCGGCCGGGGCGTGAAGCTGACCACTCACTCCCATCTAGTGCCGAGGTCAAGGAAGAGAGGATCTATACCTCCTCTCACCCCAAACGCTTACATGGCGTATAGTGGGACAAACTTTACTTTTTATATTGAGCATGAAATCTCTACCTCTCAGTACAAAAACAGTTCAAACAACCAGATCGTGTGAAATATTTTTTGCTAGTGTTTGAAATTAAGTTTGTACTATCAGTGAGACATGATTAATGTTCAGAGAAAGCTATTAGTGTTGAATCATTGTTCAGCCCATCCTTACCTCCTCAAAAGTTTGTGCATTTGCCATGTTGTTGTTAGAGAGTGTAAGAAATTCGAAAGTACGACGTTGGGAAGGACTCTAATGGCTTGACATTCGTATCAAATTTGAGCGAAAGCCGCTCAGCGGTTTTCGAGCTGAAACATGTGGACGGACGGACAGACAGACCAACTCGATGCTACGCAAATCGTGCAAAGAACGCATAACAGGAGGGATAAATTTATTTTACGCGACATAATGTCTCAAGTTTCTCAGTCGTCTATCAAAATACTATTCAGAACAAATGAGAATCTGCAAATAAAGCTTACCGAGGATGAAGGAGGTGTCTGCACATTCCTTGTAACAGATGAAGATCGTTTATTCGCCAACTGAAGCCTCTTGATCACTGCAATGAGCTAAACCACGGAAGGCTATTCTAACTCCTGAGCGGGTGACTATATTTAGTAAATCACCCCATGCCATCTTACGTGCATAAAGTAATCTATGACGTCATCACGTGGAGACAAAAAGCTGCTCTCTTGACCCCAACTCACTGTTTTTAAAACAAATTATATTATTTGGGAGGGGGGGGTGTCTAGTCTGCATTAGTTCAGATTTTTAAAGAAACGAATCTAACAAGACGTTTCTAGAGTGGTTATCACTGCTGCTTCCTATTCGGGAGGTCGCAGGTTCAAATCTCAGGCCTGTAACCTAACTATTGTGGCATATTCGTCACACGCATTACCTGGTTTTCAAATTATGAATCTGTGCCGTTGTCTTCCTACTTCTGCATTTCCAATATAATCTATAATAGCGTCACAACTATAACAGACGACGACTGCACCCTTTTATTTACAGCGTTTGTTTTGGATTATGTGGGTACATTCAGAAACTCGCATCATTTGCCTACAAACCTGTGATTTCAATTGCGTGTTAATAAAATGTGCCTTCAGAAACAGCGTGACGAATCCGATAACACTGCATGACGAGATTTAACAATCAGTTGTCAGACGACAACTGAACATCAACATGCTACACATCACCCAGTTTCCCATGCAAGAAATGTTGAGACATTTTCTTAAATGGCCGACTTGCAGAAAACACAACTATCACATACAGGAAAAGCAGATGTAGTTTCATCACCAAGAAAGTAGCAACTGTTAATCATAAAACGAAATACCCTAAATATAAAATGTAAATTATCATGCTCAAACATTGCAAACAGAAAAGCATACGATACCAGTCGAAATTCATGCTGCAAGAAAATGTATCTTAACACATGGTTACTTTCGCGGTACGAACATTTAAGCTTAGTGAAAAATATTAAAAGGCTGTGAAGACTGTAACAGACTAAGGAAATGTACCAAGATTACAAAGTTTACACAAGTGAAAACTGTCATTTACCTGGAACTACATAGCCTACCTCCTACGTTTCAAAGCGGATTTCAGCAGAACATTTTCTTCGAACCAATTAAAACTAAAGTGTGAAGCAAACTTCCAGACGCCTATGACAGGAATTATGGATCCTGATGGGGAAATTTTTTAGTAAAAAGTAAACACTTCCACGAAGGTTGATTGGAATAAGGAACTGGAAATTCCACCGCACATGATCTACCGTCTCCCTGTCATGCGCGAGACAAATAGTCCAGTGGACTTTCCCGTCTTGTCTCGGCTTATTTGATGTTTCAGAAAATAAGTTACAGAAGCGTAGCCCGCCATCTCTGGACAGTTACAGTTAATCATCTCAACGACAGAAATTATGAGTCGCGGTGGAAATGGGCGAAGTTAAATGCAGCTGGAAAAGATTTTGATCGGGCAAACACAATCTTTCTGATAAGCAAAAAGCAAAAGTGAGTGTTTGCGAAGAAAAACTCGCCTACAACAAAATACAGTCTGCAGATCTACTGGATATTTGATGAAAGTTTGAGAAAGAGGAGATATATGCAAGCTTCAGCATACTAAAGTTAAATGACAAGGCAGATGAGAAATTTAGTAATAAAACCACAGAGACCATTTTATCTAAGCTTCCAACCCTATAGAGATTATTTATTTTAAATATAATTTTTAAATCTTGAATGCTGTAGGATACAATCTGTAGTAAATATAAGATTATTACAAACGAAATACACACTTTTAAAATATATTTTGGAATAAAGTAATTGTTCCACAAACAACATGTGAGTACCAACTGAAACGGTGACTAGAATAAATGTTTTCTATGTTGGTAACTGATTTTGTTTAAGAAGGCAACGCGCAAGGCGGTTATAAGTGGATATAAAGTCACAAGAAAGTGGATTTGCTCCAGATTTCTATATGTAGCGACTACGGACATTGTTTTAATTGAATTATATTAAGATCTTGTCTTCGTCCCATTCTTCTAAAACCGGTCTTGAAAAATAAAAAGGTGGAATTTGATAAGTCATTCCATCAACTGAATACATCGTGGCTCGTTACAAAGTGCAGGGATAACAAGATGTCCTTATTTGTTAGAATTAGGAACGGAGCTTATATGAAGAATTTAATGACCCGAAAGTCTAACAACCATAAGATGACATGAAGAAAAATATATTTGTCTTAACAAAAAAATAGCTATAAAATACAATTTAGTTCATGTTAAATTTATTTTCAGAATACTTCCCAAAATTCAAATATTTTTCGTCATTACTTCCAACCAAAACATTAGAAGCTCAGGCTCCGTATTTCGTGGAGTGAACGTGATCAAACATCGAGTTGGAAGCGAGAAAATAATGACCTTATTTTGGCTTCCAGCCGGTGAAGTTCCCAGAAACCCCGTTCACGCGATGCCTGTCCTCACAGCAGAACAATCACTCAGGAACTCAGTGAAATGATACAGTATTTAGTTACGAGGACATCGATTTGTGAACAACTGTGGCAACGCTTATAGAATTTCCAAAGATTTTGCGAACGGAGTATAACCGTCGGCTCAATGTGAACTAGGCTTTCCACAGTCATAAGTGCACGAAGTTAACACCTAACATGCACAGAGTTACCTGCTGCGCCGCCCCTCGCCTTGTCGTGCGGCGGTGGTCTAGGGGTGGTTCTTTGAGTGAAGTCCTTGGTAAGATTTCTGTCGAGTGGGTTGCCGCCCAGGTTGGGTGACGGGGAGAAGGCAGCACTTTCACGGAAGAACTCGTCCGTGTCGTAACCATCGATGTCATCGTCATCGTCCAGGGAGTCCCCTGTCGCTGCTGCGGCCAACTCGTCCTCCAACGGCTGCTCCTCGAAATGCTCCTTCAGAACCTTGCGGGGCACTGCACGCACGCACGGGCACACACATACACACACAATGCTAATTTAACTCCTGAGTCTTCTTCGGGAGGTCCTTGTCCTAACCTCGGCTGGAGAACCGGCTATCATGATTAAATGAGATTTGAGGTTCTCAGGTAAAAATATCGATGTTGGTCTTCCGGGTTGTAACGGCGTGCAGTTTTCAGCCCTAAAAATGGAGGCAGCATGTTCTTCCGAAACGTTGGTACTTACCTACAAGTCACATGACGTTACAACCCAGAAGATTAACAACGAGATCATGAAGTTGACCGTAGTTGTCCTTACTTACTCCATGCAAATGTCGGTGGAGTACTTTAAGCTTTTCGAGGGCAGGTTATCTGTGTCTAACATCGGCTTCAAGAACAGTACGAAGTGAGATCTAGAGTCGCATGAAACACTTCATTGTAGAGTACTGAATGTTTCTGAATGCAACGCGATGTCTGTTTCTACTTTTTTTCCTCAAAACGTCTTTGCTTACTAAGAAGACCAACATCCACTCCCAAATGCAAGTAATTATTATGGTCTAGGGATAATACTTGGGGAAATTAACAGGTAAAACAATTTTCCCATAAACATACCTCGAACACTTCATATCATAGGCTTTTCAAATTACCATTCGTAAATATCCTATCACTTCTATTTCGATATTTTAAAATCCACACAACTGGAAGAAATATGAAAGTAAAAAAAAAAACATTAAAAATCTCAGAAACTAACCACATCCTCGGATTACTAAAGAATTCACACAAGGGGCATGGGTTCGTTAGTGTGGGGTCATTTTGAAGTAATTTCGATTTTTGTACCAAGGAAAATCTTCTGTTTTCGTGATGATGAGCTTCAGAAGATTTTAGAACAAACAGGACATTTCTCGACCAAGTGAATATCAATTATTCAAAGAAGACTTTTTACCATTTTATTTGACAAAATTATGAATTAATTAAATTTAAACATACAACATTCTGGAAAAATGCAAGAAGAGTAAGGCTCGAACAGCCAGGAGTTCTTTTTGCCCATAGGAACGGATTTCGAACTGAGAGGTGCGAACGTGTGGGAAACTTTAAGACGTCTCTTCGGCAAGCCAGCAGTGTACCGTCTCATCAGAACCGATACGCGATGGTCCTGTTACGACATGCATTTGTGCAATCAGGGAACAGAAATGCTTGACCACTTAAAGCCCGGTGGTAACTGGATTGTACCACCTGATTTTATAATAATTGCAACTGTGATGAATTTGAAGATTTCCGTCTTCTGGGTTGTTGCGCTGTGTAGTCTGATCGCCCTGATGACGGAGGCAGTATGACCTCTGAAACGTTGGTTAACATCGACCAGACTACACGGCGAACAACCCAGAAGACGGAAATCTTCATACTGACCGCTGTGAGAACCTCAAGTCTTACATGTGATGAATTTGTCTCCACAAGGGCAGTGTTCATACAGCTTAGTTTGGGAGAAACTAAAATGAAACTGGGTTGGTACAATAAAGTTTGTTTGGTATTACATGAAAAATGCGTGTAAAATACGAATGTTCGATTTTCAAATGAAGACATGACACATGCGAACGGATATCAACGGGAAGTAATCGGATTTATGCTTACCGTAACTTAAATCCTACTTATTTAGTTAGGATCGGATGTATAGGCGTATGGGCAGTATATTGCTAACGATTTCCTGTTGGACAGATGTGAATTGACTATTAATCCAGGAAGCTTATCGAAAACAATGGAAGGGAAAACTAATCTCATTTAAGCTTTAATATAGTTAATAAATGTCTGAAACGAGAAATCCCAAAGCTATCAGGCGTACCTAGTCATCAAACGCAGCGCACCAAATTAAAATGAATTGCACAGTTTTCGTTAAAATTCCAAACATAATATAGACCAGCGGTATTCAACCTTTTTTGTTCGCGTACCCCCAAATATAATTTCTCTTCAACTTTGTACCCCCAAAGTTGTTGGTGTATAATTCAAGTTATACATAGTATATAATCTACATCTAAAATAAATTAAATTAATTACATTACTGATTATTCAGTGTTTATCATAAAATAATATATATATTTTTTAAATTTCACGTACCCCCTAAGATGCCTTCGCGTACCCCAGGTTGGAAACCACTGGTATAAAGTATGTAGCAGAGTCTCCATCGAACATTTGATGTTATTCAGCTGATTACAATATCTCATACTTATAAGAAACAGAAGGTTCACTACTATGCCCTGAATCATGTCCTCAGCCTGTTCATACATACCTAACAAATTATCCTTCCATCTATTCCGAGGTCTCTCAAATATGTGTGTATCAAAATCCTGTGTGTATTTCCTCTTTAACGTGCGTGCTTATAATACCAAACACATTCTTCGCCTTAACGTAGCTACTCTAACATTATTACGACTGTCCTCAGTTAAACCTGCAGATTGACGTGATATATTAAAATTGGCCACGACCACTTCCTACTACATCCCTTCTCATTGACACGTCATCCTACGCGACACCACGTAACTTCTTCAGGCGTTAAAGCGTTGCCAAATTACGACTGTTACCGCAATTTCGGAGGAACCCGTTACTCCCGTCTTCTGCTCAGATCACAATCTAAAATTTTGCCGCTGGGGAAACACCAAATTTGAAACAAAGCCCTCTATGGGGAGGAAACGCTGCATAACTGTTATCTTGAGGGTGGAGGAGGAAGGTTCGTTTAAAATGCTGGCAACAACGTAGATGAATATACAGTGTCACACTCCAGAATATCACAGACTGAATTTTTATCAGATTAAGCAAGACGGTATAAATTAATGCACTTTGTTTTATGGGTGTCAAATATGGTTACTAGTCCTGAGACTATGGTTATCAAATATGAGAGGTTAAAATGAGCTAAACATGGAAATCGAATTGGGGGGGGGGGGGGGGGGACAACTAGCGGAAAAATATGGGGAAACATTTTGGGAAGCAGAAGAATGTAAAAACCGAATAGATATTCCAATGTTTAATTTTCTAGTGATGTGTAGTGTAGTGAAATCGACTTTCCTGTGTTACGTAACGTGGTGATATTTTATTTGGAGTGTACTGTACGCCTTCCGGCAAACTTCTGGTAAGTGACTCGCTCCGAGGTTCCAATTCACAAAGTTCAGCGGCCAAAAACGCTGGAACGCAGTGTACTCGCCTGTTTGCAAACGTACAAGTACTAGCAGCATACAATTCGACATAATTTAACTTCAAAACTTCTGATTCTGCTAGAGACGTGACAGCTGGCAAGCCACTACTATCCGCGTTGAAAACATTACTTGGGGCTCGTATCTTTGCAATAATTAATTATTCATTACACCAAAATTATACTAAATACTATCCACATTATAAGATAACACAGGACGTTTCGGGAACTGGCTCTAATACCGTTTATTATTTATAGGGTTCCAGTTTCGATTTTGATCAATAGTCGACATTAATATCGAAATTAAAATCAATTAAATATGTCAGTGTGCCAACTAATTACATGAAGACGTTAGTTTAGCTGTGCTGAATGTCACTTTAAGCTCGTATCAGTATTGCCAATATTTTCTTCAGAACGCTTTGGTTCATTGCATCATTCTTGTGGTACTGCATATTCTCTCTCACGCCTCTGTTGCAGATACCAGCCTTCTGGATGACCATAACGAGGCTTTAAAAGCCCCGTCACTAATCTGAAACGCGCTGTACGTGAAAGTTTCTGTCAATTTTAATGCTATTCTGCATTACCTCGCTGGATCTAATGCTCATCCTGATAACACTGCCCTCACAGTTTCAATGTTTGTAACTATGTAACTACACAGTGACGTCATACTTTCACGCTTTGTACAAGAGCGTCCTAACACGCAAGTTACGTAGATCTCTTACGACCAACAAAGGAGAATTGTTGTAATGTGACAGAGATGTGCCAAATCTATTATCTCCACGAATCATAGTCTTTGGAAACTGATAGTTGTTCAAGCAGTCAAGAAATTCCCCTCCTGCCATATAACCCGAAAATTAATTAAAGTCCGCCAATGGACCCTATCCTGCGATAATTGAATCCAGCCCACATCTTTATACGTTATTTAAATTTCATTTTCATATCATCCTCCCGTCTCATCCAGATGTTCTAACTGTCACTTCATGTTTTTGGGTAACATTTCTATGCACCAGATATCTGTATATGTCAACCTATTCGTCTTTATAAACTCATGAAATATTCCTGGTTTATATTTCCTCGTACGTAAGCGGTTTACAGACTTCAGTCTCTCCAGAAATGTTTATTAATATGAATACTTAAAGAATTTTAACATATTTCTTACATTTCAAATTTCGTTTTATGTAATTTTTCTTCATTTATACAATTTATATACATCACACGTATTTAACATTTTTTAAATCGCTGCGGACTAACGTAGTTTTAACTTTTTTAAATTTTGGTTCTCCTTCCTTCCAGTTGTC